TTTCCTCCATGATAAGCTCTTCCCCTCATTGAATGATTCCAACACTGTATCGGCCTTGACAATGTCTGTTACCTGTGAACCGGTACGGGGAATCGAAGAGGAGATGAGGGTTAGGTGGGTGCAGAGGAGAGAAATGAGGGAGGGCCGAGGGGGGGGGGGGTGGAGTGTGGCGGCAGTGTCTGTTACCCATGAACTGGTGTGGGGAGTCAAAGACGAGATAAGGGTTCGGTGTAGAGGAAAGAAGGGAATGAGGGTCGGGGGTGGGGTGAGGGAAGGATGGATGTGCAGAGGTTGGGTGAGTGCAAATGAGAAAAAGAATGGAGGGTCCCCGGGAGGGGGGGTTGAGGAAGAAGACACTAATTTTTTTTCAATTTTTTCAATTATTTTTTATGTTATTTTTTTTAATATCCAAATGGGACCCATATTGACATGTGGCAGACAATCATTGTCCACGTGGGCGCCATGTCATTAGTTAACGGTTGATTTAACAGCAACCTTGACGGATGTATGAAAGTGTCCCAAAATTATGACTTTAGGTATCACTCTGGGATGAAAAAAAAATCATGTATCAAATGTTGAAAATCAAGAAACTTCAGGGTATTTGTTAGAGACCTCCCTCCCTCTTGAAGAAATCAATCAAACAACTAAATGCAAATGAACGAAACATGAACAGAACCGTATCTCTGGTACCGGTGCAACTACTTTTCTTCAATATAAGAGAACAATATTTGATTACAATTACACAGATCTGATTAAATTTCTCTCTTAAGTTACACAAGCAGCTCTAGCTTTAAGCATTAAACGTTCGGGACTACAAAAAGAGTGAAAACAACTTAAATTGTTCACTGAATGATAATTCTTTGTCCAACTCTCAAAACCTCTAGCAATATTGATTCTTGAAGGCTAATATATCTCAATATTTAGTAAAAATACTTTTCACTTTTTCATTATTCCTAAAGGCAAAGAGTAATGCTAAGGGAGCCCAAACTCCACATCATAGAAAGGCATGACCAGAGTAAAGAGAGTAGTCTAGGGTTTAGCTTATATACTAATAATCATCACATTATCAAATTCATTAATGATTACTACAGGGGTTTAATTTCTTTATAATAAAAGCAAATACATTTTTCTTCTTTTTTTTTTTCAGTCCATGGAAATTTGTAGGTCATGGTGAGAAAACTATACTGTTAGGAACTGAGGCTTCTGGACTCTCTAGATGTGTCATGGCTCATGATAATTGGTGAGTAAATCGAGACTTGGTCGCTCGATCGAGGTTTTTGTTGTACATCATACAAAGGCATTATAGACTTAACTTCTACAATTGTGTTTTTCATTTGGTTAAATTGGAAACAATTGAATCATATCAAAGAAAATTTAATAGTTTTTGTTTTTCCTTTCTTGGTTTCATGTATATGTGTAATTACTGTTATACTTATCTATTAATCACTTTTTAAAAACTATTATTAGTACCATTGGTGAGACAGTCTTCCTTTCCGCAACAGTGCTTACATTAAAAAGAAATTGTTCATTAGTATGTTGACAATCAGCTTCAGCACCCAGTTACTAATCCAACTTCCACGTGGTAGTCAATTTCCCAAATAATCTTCTTCTTGTTTGCTTGTTTTCTTTTCTTTTTCTTTCTGGTGTTCTTTACCTTTCACGACTTGTTTGAACGCATCTTGTGCTTGGCTATTGCTTCTAGGGTTTGACCACTATTTTAAGTACTAAACGAATTAAGCTCAACATTTTATTCATTGCAATCAAATGCGCCTGTTAATTATTAGTTAATTAATAACTATTTTAATTAGTTCTTTCAAACTTGTTAATACTGTGATTAAGTTCCATTTGAGAGTACTAGTGGCAAGTTTTGGTGAATGAAAAGTCCTTAGTATGCTATTTGTTGAAGGAGAATTAGACCTAAACTATAAACCAAATGTTACTCAATTATTTGTTGTTAGGTCAAGATGAGATTGGTGAGGTCATGCTTACACTTTCTCTTTTTAGTGAAAATCGCTTACATGATGAACACTCTCAAGTTTCAACCCCACTTCTCATTTAGATATTGAAATATATTTGTATACATAGTCTAAGGTACCTGTTAAAAATAGTATTATACACTTCAATCGAACGGTGTTTTTATATGTTTTTATGCCCACGCATCTTGTTTTGGCGTCCACCACGTACGTAAAAATTAACATTGTTATTACTATAATAACATTATGTGTTATCGGCTACAAATTAACTATATGAGCTGTGATTTTAATGTCATGTTGTAATTTCATTAGAAGTGACGGTAGAGACTCAAAAGTGAAGGTAGTAATTTACGGCTATATAGTGTAAGACACTCATGGTTTAACAGTGAACATTGGTAGTACTGTAATAAACATATCATTCTATAACATCACGATTATTATGTAATGTTGACCACTCCTCCCTCTGCAATCAGAAACCCTAACTCTGCAAAAGTCTTAGCAACTGGTCCCTTACTTTGGCTTGGGCGTGGCGGCAGCCTCTCCTCCCTTCTTCTAGGGCCTCCCCTCCTCCTAACCTCTCACCTTCCTCTCCACTCCCCAGCTTCCATCCCCCTTCCCCTGACCACTCCTCCGCGACCCTCCCTTTGTTTTCTCCTTTTCTCTCCTGTCCTTGGTGCTGCGCAACACCTCTACACCCCCCACCATTTTGTGGGCAACGAATTTTCATGGCTTTAATGCAGTCACCGTTCAAAACTCGAGAACTATTGCCTCACAGGGCCCATTCCCAGGATTTGGGGCAAAATCTGCGGGTTTGGGTTGATGTAGTAATTGGTTGTTGGTGGGTGCGGTTCTCTCTTATAAGCGATATGGTTTCGATGTGGCCTCGCTTATGAGTAATAATTTTGATGTGGTCTCGCTTGTCAGCGATGATTTGATATGACTTCACTTGTTTTGCTATAATATGCATGTCAAGTTTGTGCAGTAATCAAGTTTTGGCTTTTGCCTATTGTGCGGCTAATTCAACTCGACATATGTGTTTTTATCGATTTCTGAATTGAAGTACTATGTGGTGCACTGCTAAAACTAATTATCAAGAGCATGTAAATATATTTTGGCTCACATTAAAAATTCAATTTGACAGTTTTGATTACACCATATATGTAATAAGATTTTGGGGTTTGCCGTATATATCAGTAATTGGGTTTGGAATGGTTGAATCATGTTGATATAATCATCTTTGATATTGGAATTATTGTATAGCAATGGCACCAACTTTGAATAACATACATTGACAACTCTTTTCAATCGGATTGGTTTCATAAATTGACATTTTGAATTAATATTTCGTGTAGCCCGTGAATAATCATTGTTCATATGTGAATATTTCGTCATTGTTACCAATTAATAATGATGGCATATAATTATAAGGACTTATGGGGTTAAGGTTTCAACCAACTACATAAAATAGTTGAGATGAATTAGGTTTGATTATCGCTAAAAGTGAATTTGAACCACATTATTGCTATCCATTGTGAGGCTAAGCCACCCGTTCTCCTTCAATGCAAGTAATATCACTTGTTCAAAAAAAAAAAAAAATATTGAGATGGATTATGTATTGGATGGTGTACTGGTGTGTGTGTTTTCAAATTGCATTTGATTTGATCATTATCATTCGACCATTATCATTCGACCTTATTGTGGCTTCTACCATTGACACAATTTGTGGAGAACTGAAATCTATAACTATCCGTACAGATACTTGTCTATTTTTTAGGCCGTACTTTAGTTTATATTGATGCATTTATACAAGAAATGTATGAATAGACCTGTGTATGTGTAAACCTTGTATGGAATGATATAGATTGTTTGGATGTAACCTTGATGGAAACATGCATGTATGATAGTGTTGACATTGAATTAAAGTATGAGGAATTTTAATTTGGGTTACTGTCGATTTAATTATGTTATCATGGATTAATTGACATATTATCGTTTATGATCTGTTTTATTGTCTTGTGAAAATCGTGGAGTTCAAGATCTTGTCTTATGTATTGGGTTTTATGACTGTTAGGGCCGAAAATTTCACCCATAAGTCCAAAGCCAATCGTTGCGTATACATCACAAGCTGAGTTTAAATTCATGCACCAAAGTGCGAAATGAGGGGTATGTAATTTTACAATCACGGCACGCTAATAAAATAATAGTTTATAAATTGCGACAATTTACAAACTATTATAATAAATCTCACCAATCATGTATGCTTATCATGCCAAGCCATATTATAATATTACTATTATAATAAATCTCACCAATCATGCAACGTGCTTAAGTGGGCCAAGCCATGTAATGGGGCTTGCTAATTGAATCGTGGTGTGGATTGTTACGTAAGTTCATTGGGTCTACATAAAATTAAGGTTGTGGAAGATTTTTGGCTGCTTTGGATCACCAAAAATCGAAGCCCATGATTCTAACTCCACATAGGAAAGCTTAAGAGAGAACTGACTCATCTTTACCTTTTCCCTTACAAACCAAATAGGACACTTAGAAAACAACCAAAACTCAAAGCTGATATGACTAAATCAAACGTGATCACATTTTAACCAAGAGCTACGCACCTCTTTAATAAGTAGAGAAATAACATTTCATCTCCAAGCTCATATAGAACAACGAGGTGGGAGAGGACAAACTAGAAAAAGAATGCACCATGTAGAGCAAGCTTTCTTAGGCCCCGTTTGGTATTACTTTTTTTTACCAACAATTGTTTCACTTTAAAGTTGAGTGACAAAAATGATATATCCTACTTATTTTAAAAGCAATACCCTGCAGACAGTAGTTTTTAAAAGCAGCATGTGGGAGCTTTTAAAAGTTGCTTTAATAAAAAATGAAGTTAAGTCTTTAATGAATATTTTCAATTCCTGTAATATCCTAATTAATTTTCAATCCATGTGATACCCTAATTAGTTTAACCTTCCATCCTCATTTTATCTCTTAGAGAACAAAGTGACCACCAATTACCACTACAAACACTCACCTTACACCACCACTGTCAGTACCACAATTATTGTTGCTACCACCACCAACACCACCTCCTCCACAACAACCATCACAACCGCTACAACCACCATTGCCACCACTATCGTTGCCACCACCACCGCCTCCATTACCACCATAACCATAGTAGCCTGCCACAACGACAATCACCAATATTGTCGCTGCCGCGCGCCTTTAGCACTATTGTTACCTCTACACACCAATTACCCCACCGCACTGTTGGCACTACCAACATTCCTCCACTTTTGTCGTTGCCATCACCACTACCACAACCACCACCACCGCCACCACCAACATCACCATCCACTACCCTCGCCACCATCCCCACTACCATGTCCAATTTTGTCAGTATATACATCTATATCAGTTCTACATTATAATTTACCAAACCCTTTTATACTGCTTTTTATATTCATAACACTTTTAAGAATACAGTTTATCCAAGACTTTTATGTCACAGTTGATTATTATTAAACTACAACAAAAGTAGTCTTTTTTTAAAAGCGCAACTCCCAAACTGGCCCTTAGTCCTTATAAAACCACAAAAGTATTAAAAATCCTAGATTAGCCATCATTAAATCATGTAAGAAAGCACAGGCTCTCTCTCACACTACAAAAACAAAATATGAAATTGATAAAATAGAAAATTGTGCATTTTCAACGAGTTATTCATGGGGTAAACCTTTCTCTATGTATTCTCATGAATGATTCCAAGTCCTTATTGTATCAACAGAAGACACCTATCTTATGCAATATGATGATTTTTTTTTTATAGATATTAGTCACAATATATGCACACTTGTATTAGATATATTAGTCATTAAATATGTAATATGATGATTTTCTTATATTAGATATAAAATAGCGATATGCTATAAAATTAAACTAGACAAAAACTTGGTTTCCATCATGATTAGAAAAATAGATACAAGAGAACATACCACCAAAAATAGCTAGAGAATCTCTTCTAAGTCACTAGGTCACCCTTGTTCTCTTTAATACATGATTTTATTTGGTCTATATGTTTGATTACCAATGCTGATTCCTAGAGATTGCTTGAAATCTAGTCTGAAGACAAATTCAACTAGTCAAAAGTAGCAAAATTCCTGAACATCTAGTCATTACTTTAATTGTCTTTGAACTCCTTTAAAATTCTAAAATACAAATATGGTTGACATGCATACACACACACACATATATATATATATGTATATATGTTTGTGTGTGTGTGTGTGTATATATATTACCAACTACAACCTTAGTCAAATACAAGTTGTCGACCTTTTGATCGCTGAATTCATAGGAATGCTTCATTCTTGGTGGGAAAAACATCTCACTGAACAGTCTAGAAATGAAATTAAGCACGCAGTCAAAAAAGATGAAGATGGAACACCCATCTTTGATGAACATTGGACAAAGAGTCCCAGATGCAGTCAATACCATACTCTTTACCATCATAGAACAAGTTCATAGGTACTCCCAGTAATGTCACCTTCAGAATTCATGACCAACTTAGTAATTTAAGATGTCCAACCCTAAGTGATTTTAGATGGTATAAAGATGTTTTTATGTCTAGAGTCATGCTTAGAGAAGATAGTAATCAGCCATTTTGGAAAGAAAAATTCATCAATGGATTACCAAACCTTTTTGCCCATAAATTAGGAATGTTTTAGCTAATGAAGAAGGTATCATATCATATCATACCCTTACTTATGGAAATATAATTAATATTTTCTAGAAGGACGGATTGAAAATGTGTATTGATATGAAGATCTCAAAACAAGTTAATAAAGACAAGTCAATAGCTAAATACGAATTATGAACATTCTGTGAACAATATGGATTACCTCCTATTGCTCCATCCAACAAAAAGAAAAAATCAGAAACCTATAATAGGTATACAAATAAGTACTCCAGTAGGAGATATCCCAAATATAGCAAATTTAAAAATAAGAATTTTGAAACAAATAAATTTTACAAGAAACCCAGGTTCAATAAGTGGAAAAGGAAACCCTCAGGAAAAATTCACTCCAAAAAACAAGAAAAAAAAGGAAATTGCTACAAATGTGGCAAATTTGGTCATTATGCAAATAAATGTAGTGTCAAGAAAACAATCAACCAATTGAAAATCTCTGAGGAAGAGAAAGTCCAATTAATCCAAGTCCTAGAATTAGGAAACACAGACCATAGTCAATCCGAATATGATTTAAGTTCTAATTTGTCTTCTTCCAACAATTCATCAAGTAGTCTTGCATCCCCCGACATCAAAATATGTTGCACTGACACTTGTTGTAAAAAGATTTCAGTATTCAATAAACAAGAAGAACAAGAAGATCTTCTTATCGAATTAATTAGCAAAGTAGAAGACCCTGAATTAAAGTCATTTTATTTAAAGAAACTTAAGAAACTAGTCTCCCAAGAAGAGAACAGTACTAATCAACCGCAAGTACCCCAAAAAATTAGCCCATTCAATAAGTCTAAGAAAGAGATTACAGTTAAGGACTTACAAAGAGAAGTCAATAAAATCAAAGATGAAATTAAGTTTCTAAAATCAGAAAACTTAGAAATTCGTACATATCTCAGTAGAGTTCAGACACAAACATTTGTCAACAATAATGACGAAGAACACACTAGTTCTTCCTCAAGCCACAATTCAGATTCTCAGTCTGAAGAAAAATCATCAAAAGGTTTAATATTAGGATTATTAGACTAGATAAGAATCCAGAAATGGTATTCTAAAATCAAAGTAATAATTGAAGATTTTCACTTAGAAACAATTGCTTTAATTGATTCAGGAGCAGACTTGAATTGTATTAAAAAAAGATTAATTCCTACTACGTATTTTCATAAATCAGCAGAGATACTTAGTGATGCAAACCAATTGCCAATGCAATTAAAATACGAAATTCCAAAAGCCCATGTCTGTCAAAACAATGTTTGTTTTAAAACCCCATTCGTTTTAATAAAAAACATTTTAGATCCAATCATTTTAGGTCTCCCTTCATAGCTCTCCTATACCCCTTTAAGGTACACCATAATAGGATAACTACTAGAATGTTAGGACAAAAAAAAAATCACATTTGAGTTCTGCACGGAAACAGAACTCAAAAAATTAAGACAATTACAAAAAGATAGCATCTCAAAAACCATCAATCTAGTTACCAAAAAATCACAACAAATTAATTTCTTAAAGGAAGAAATTAATTACAAAAGAATTGAAGAGCAATTAACAAACAAATCTTTGTTACAAAGCATTAACAACTTTCAAAAGAAACTTGTTAATGAAATTTGTTCGGATATTCCCAACTCCTTTTGGCACAGAAAACAACACATTGTCAAACTTCTTTACAATAAGGATTTTGATGAAAAGAAAATACCCACTAAAGCCAGACCGATCCAAATGAGTCAAGAAGTTATGGAATTCTGCAAAACAGAAATTCAAGAGCTTCTTAATAAAGGAATAATTAGAAAAAGTAAATCACCATGGTCATGTCCTACTTTCTATGTTCAAAAGAATGCAAAATTAGAATAAGGAACCCCTAGGTTAGTTATCAATTACAAAGCTCTTAATGAAGTCCTAGAATGGATACGATATCCAATTCCAACAAAAAAGATTTAATTAAGAGACTTAGTCAAGCTGTAATTTTCTCAAAATTTATATGAAGTCTGGATTTTGGCAAATTCAAATTCATGAGGATGATAAATACAAAACAGCATTTGTCACTCCGTTTGGTCATTATAAATGGAATGTAATGCCTTTCGATCTTAAGAATGCATCCAGTGAATTTCAAAATATCATGAATGAAATATTTAATCAATACAATCATTTCTCAATTGTTTATATTGATGATGTTCTCATTTATTCCAAATCGATAGATGAGCATTAGAAACACTTAAACATGTTTGTTAGGATAATTAAGTCAAACGGATTAGTTGTCTCAGCAACCAAAATCAAGTTGTTCCAAACCAAGATTAGTTTTTAGGATACAATATCCACCAGTCAACCATTCAACCAATTGATAGCGTAATTCAATTTGCAGATAAGTTTCCAGATGAAATCACTGACAAAACCCAATTACAGAGATTTCTAGGGTCATTAAACTATGTTGCCGAATTCTATCCCCATCTTAGACAGCAATGCAAACCTTTGTTTGATCGTCTCAAAGAAAATCCCTCACCATGGTCCAACACTTATACTTCCATAGTCAAGCAAATCAAATCACATGTTAAAACTTTGCCTTGTCTTGGCATTCCAACCCCCTAATTCATTCAAAATTGTTGAAACTGATGCCTCTGAAATTGGTTACGGAGGTATTTTCAAACTATCCATTTCTTCCGAATCTCTTAAACAAATTGTTCATTTCCATTCAGAAATATGGAATTCAGCACAAAGTAATTATAATACTATTAAAAAAATATTATCTATTGTATTATGTATTAGCAAATTTCAAGATGATCTATTAAACCAGAAGTTTTTAGTCAGACTCAATTGCAAATTTGCAAAACATGTTTTACAAAAAGATGTTCAAAACATTGCATCAAAACAGATTTTTGCACGATGGCAAGCCATATTAAGTATTTTTTATTTTGAAATTGAATACATTAAAGGCAGCCAAAATTGCATCCCTGATTTCCTAACCAGAGAATTTTTGCAAGGAAAGAATGACAGACAAAAGAATTGAACAGAGAAGGCTTCCAGCCACTGTACCACCACCAGTCAAACAAGAATCAAGCTCAGATTCTTCATCGGTCTTAGCCATTACCAACAGATTCACTCCTTTAGGTTCCACAATAGGAAACCTTAGACCAAATTACCAACCATCCCGTCCAAACTACCAAACGACATTAGTCAGTCAATATGATCCATATTCAATTTCAACTCACCCATCTTCATCATCCCAATCAGCCAGTTACACTAAAACATTACCATATGTCAAGAAAATCCCTAGCGAATATCTTTTCAGCATCTTTTCAACATTCACCAAGAACAAGCACCAGAGAAAATAGCCTAAACAGTTTTCCCTCCTAATTTTCATTATTAGTTTATTAAATCATATAAAACCCTCAAAAACTACCAAGTCATTCTCAGTGAGACTGAATCTATTTCAATTAAACCACTTTACAGCAAAACCCATGAAAACAAAATTCTTTATCATTCTCTGTACATTGGAAAGTTTTTAACTAAATCAGATTGGGGACTCTCCCTTTATCAAACTAAACCACTTCATACCCAACATGTTCTCATTCCCAATAACCATTACGATTATTTTGATTATATTCAATCTTGGACTAACATTTTCCTTCATCAAATAGAAGACTTTAGTCATTCATCGT